TAGTCCATAACTCAGACAATCTACAGCTAACCTCAGAAACCATGTTCCTTTTTTAAAAAAGCAACCCCCCCCCCAAACTAGAAATCAAGATCACCACCACAAGCATTAGCATGGCTATCCTAGTTTTACATAGGCCAAAAGGAATAACCTTTATACAGGAGTGGCCTACAAGCTCCTCACAGGCAAGATTACCACTTTTGACTTTAACCCCAAAAAGGAAGGAAGAGTTCCTTTGGATCTGATGACACTGCGCCACACAGCTTGTGCCATTATTATCCCTCTGAAAGTCACAAAACTGGAACAAAGGTTCTCGTTAACTTTGGGCAATGGGAGAAGCAGATGTGAGGAGAGTTGGAAGCAAGGACTTAAAAGCCACACCCTTTTGGAAAGTTGTCTTGCCATTTCTTATCCCCAACGAGGAAGACCACACATAGATGTCACACCTGGGACGGCGGGGAGGAGTATATAAGAGTAAAGTTGACACACTGCGATACCTGAGAATTAAAATTACATGGCACACGCTTTAAAAAAAAAAAGGCAGGAAAGGAGTAGGAGGTGGGGGGGAAACAGGGAAAGCAGCTTATTAGAAATCAAACCGCCGTCGAGAGAGGAGTGAAGAATGAAAGATAAATCGTGGGTTTTCTTCGCCACCCAGCCCCCACCCCCGCTTGGCAGGAAGCGCGACTAGGCCTTCAAGCCCCCGGCTTCCCCCGCCACTGTGATGCAGCCGAGGCAGTCACAGGCCTCGGGAAGGGATCCCAGTGACAGGAGGAGGAGGAGGGCCGCCCTCCTCTTCCTCCAGTCGGGGGAAGGGAGTGGAAAGAGGACGCCCGACCTCCCCGAGAAACAGGGGCTCCCCTCCCCGAGCCCTTCCCCTCCGGCCTGGCCTCCCCACCCACCCACTCAGGCCCTCGGGACCGGAGACACCCCAGCCCGGCAGCCCCGGCCAGGCCTGGCCCCTTTTGCCGCTGCCCTCCCCGACCACGTACTCACCCCCAGAAGCCGCAGGGGCAGCGGGGCGGCAAGCTGGGGGCTTTGCTGCGCTCGCTGCCGGCGTCTCCCATGGCGGCGGCGGCGGCGGCGTTGGCGGCCGCAGCAGCAGCGGCGGATCTCAGGGCCGGGGCCGGGGGAAGAAGGAAGGGGCAGCTCCAGGCGGAGGGTCCAGGCCGGGGCTCGAAGCCGGGATTCCAGGCCGGTCAGCTGGAGTCGGGCGCTACCACTGCGGCGGCAGCGGCGGGGCGGGTGGGTAGCTGAAGCGAAGGCGGCGGCGGCGGCGGCGGAAAAGGAGGCGGCCGCGCCCTGTGGTGCTTGAGGTGACACTGAGCGGCGGGCGGCGGCTGCCGGGGGGTTGTGACGGGCCCGCAACACGCTAGCCCCGCGGGCGGCGCGCGCCCCTGACCCAACAATGCCCTCGGCTCCTCCCCCTCGGGGCGAGTGAGGTGGTCTTGCCCGGCCACAGGATCTGCTGGGAGAGGAGTGTACCAACGTCCGGAAATGGGTGGGGGGCTGCCGGGGACGGGTGGGGAGGCCAAAGCCGAAACGGGGAGCTGACGCAAAGGCTAGTGTTACCACAGCTTTAAAGCGGAAAGCTTCCAGGGGCGAATAAGCTCGAGAAGAGTGGTTAGGGAAAGACCGGGCACCCCCCGCACCATGATCTGCTAATGGTACGGTCTGAAGAGATTGAGTCCGGGGTGAGGCAGATAAGGCTCTGCGCATGCCAGAGAGCAGAAACCCGGAAGTAAGCGTGAAGTAAAGAGTCACTCCTAGGAGTTTCCCCTCCCCCGCGCTGGTGGAATTCCCTGTCTAGGCAGGAGCAATCCCGGGAATTCCTGTTGGGGCTGCCCTACTGGCGTTGTTCGCGGCTGCTTTCTTCCCTCTCCTCAGCCTTAGCACTAGAGGGAGAGGGTTGGAGGAGCCAGGCTGCAAGCTTATGCACACTTCCCCGCGAGTAAACCCGGTCGAAGTGTGTTGGATTTACTTGCCGAGTAAACATTTGTAGGGGCTGCGCTGATAATAGTCCCCAATTTAAAAGGACGAGCCAGGATAGATAGCTTTCTCCTCTTTTCCTTAAAAAGAACTTAATGCACCTTTACCAAGTGGCGTGATGACAATAACCACACACACAAAAACCCCAGGTGGAGGCGGAGTTAAAGTTACAAGCGCCCGTCCCATTATTAAACCTGCTTTTGGCTAGTGCCTTGTGATAGCTTTGTGGTACCGGATCTTACAACATTTCTTTTAAAAAAGAGAAACATGGAAAAGGTTCTGTTTTGCAGGTGTTAAAATAGGTGTAGAATGTGATCCTATGAGTGATTATTCAGAAGCAAGACCCCCTATTAGTACTAATGTTGTATTAAAACACCCGAAGCTGCTAAAAGAATGAAGAATCCAGGACCACTTAAAAAAAATTATTTAAGGGTCCACCTGGCACCATCTTTCTGGCACTAAGCTAAAACTTAATGGATTATGATTAGCTTGATAATGGCCTATTTGATGAAATATTCTGCAGAGAGGGGGTTCCGCTGGGTCTGTTTATGGATTATTGAAATGGTGTTACTGAAATTTATTGTTACGGTTTTGTGCTACACATTTATGGTTTTGTGCTACACATTTGTGCCTTAACTTTTTCATAAGTTGTTTAGAGATTTCTTGCAGTAAGTGACTAATAAGTCATATAGGTAGCAATACTAACATTTAAAATGTTTTAAACATTGGAATAAAATGACTATGGAATGTATAAAATATAGGCTGAGATTATTATGCATTTATTCAACAGAATTTGCATGCCAATTGTAAAGAAAATCTCTTTAAGTGGTTGAGTTTAAAGTATGCAACATAAACACAGTGATCATTCACAACAAAAGTAATCAGTGATAACACAATTGGCCTTAATTTGCTATGTTAAGATAGAAAACCACTACATTTATAGCCATAGATATAGACATGAACTTTTTAAACAATATTTGTATTCATTTTCAAGTTGCACATCACATATAACATAACAAACAACACATTAACCACGTTGCTTAAAATATCACACCAGATTCTTACAGTTCACGCCAAAAAAACTTCCCACATATTACCATGAGATATCTGGGGGTTATAAACACGGTCTTCTCAATGTATATAATCCAAAAGTGGTTGCCACACATTGTAGAATAGGAGGGGATTAGAATTCTCTTTGGTCCTACAAATCTGACATATCAGCTTTTCAAGCAGGACTATTCTCCATGATCTGGAGTACTGCTTCAATGTTCAAGCCCAAAGTGGTACATCATTGCATGGCTATTTCCATATGCGCCACTGCAAGGAGGAACATTAAAAGTTCTTTATGAGCAAATGGTGGAGCAGACATGCCCTTGATTCCAAGAAAAGAAAGTTGAGGGCAAGGTTGTAGGCCATTTTGTGTATTAAACTCAATTTGAACTTCTTGACATTCCTCAGTCTCATATCTGAATCTGCCATTAAAGTTTCTTTCGTATGGCCACTTTCAGGTAACCAGCAGATTCTGATACCATTTTTGTGTCCATTTGTACTGTAGTGTAGAGAGATGGGTCTGTCTGAATTCCTATGTATGTACAGTGGTACCTCCGGTTAAGTACTTAATTCGTTCCGGAGGTCCGTTCTTAAGCTGAAACTGTTCTTAACCTGAAGCACCACTTTAACTAATGGGGCCTCCTGCCGCCGCGCCACTGGAGCACGATTTCTATTCTCATCCTGAAGCAAAGTTCTTAACCCGAGGTACTGTTTCTGGGTTAGCGGAGTCTGTAACCTGAAGCATATGTAACCTGAAGCGTATGTAACCCGAGGTACCACTGTAGAATGCAAGAAGGCATTATTGGCAGATGAAAAAAATAACTTACTATAGGGTTACCGGATGTCCCCGTTTCCCAGGGACAGTCCCCGGATTTGCAAATTTGTCCCCGGACAAATTCCATCCCCGGAATCTCTCCGGATTTCATCTAATGTCCCTGGGAAATGTGGCAGTGGCAGTGGCAGTCTCAGCAGCCCGGAGCCTGCCTGGTAGCGCAGTTGGCTCTGGCTGGCTTCAGGAGCTGCCTGCTGCTGTAGCGCCCGCCATTTTGCCTCACTGGAAGTCCCCATATGATGTGTTGCATACAAGACACTGTCAGTTTGCAAGCCCCCTCCACAGAGGCTGGCCTCTCTCACTGTCCTCGGAGCTTGCATACTGGAAACCTCCTCTGGCTGATATCCAGACAGACCAGGGAGATTTTGATAGGCGACATTTTCCCAAGCGTGGGGAAATGCACAACCCCTCCCTCCTGCTTCCGCAGGGGAAAGAAAATAAGTCAGAAATCTATTTACATGATGTTTATTTCTGACATTACAGCACTAGAGAAAAACACGTCCTTTAAGTTCAGTTCTTCTAGCACGTCTGACAAACTTCCTGAGCATGCGCAGTCGGAAGGTTTCAAATTACACTCTTCACAAAGACTTTTCCAGCCTGTGAACTTCCTGGGAAATTCTTCTTTCCCACAGATAAGCACATCATGTGATGTCAACAATCTGGCTGTCTGCAGCTGTGATGTTTCAATATACTGACAGACACATCATATGGGGAGTTGCTGTAGGGGCTGAAGATGCAGTGCTGGGCGCCGCTGCCGGGCGAGAGCTGCGCGGGGTCGTTGAGCTTGGTGCACCACTGCAACCTGACGCTGAGCTTGCCGTCAGCACTGCTGTCCAAGGCTGTGGACTCGTCTTGGTCTCCAACTGGTGCTTGGGTGGCTGCAGCTGCTGCTCAGCTTCGTCATTGTGCTCCTCAACTTGCAAGCAGCGGCTCGCTTGTCGGTCAGCTTGTCGTTGGCCATCGCGGACGAGAGGCGAGCAGGAGATGAGCTGATCCAGCCCAAGTGAGCCTCCTCCGACTCGCTCGCTGCTGGCTCTGCCCTGGACCCGCTGACTGGGCACGCTGTGGCGTGGATGGGTGGCCGCCGGACGATGTCTGCACAGGAGACGCCCAGACAGGCGGGCAGGGCAGCAGCAAGAGGAGGGGGTTTCTGCTAACACTTACTTCCAAGTAAGCCTGTAGGGGATCGCAGTGCAAGGAGGGGGAGGGAGGGAGGGGGGAAGCATGGTTAGTGCTTCAAGAAAGGCCAGGACCCAGAGGAAGGCCGTGTAACAGAAGAGACTACAGAAGAGAAGATGTTACTTCTTTATTTTTTTAATAACTTTTTTCCTCTCTCTTTTTTTAAAAAAAATATTTATTTATTTATTGTGTCATTGAAAAGAATCTGGTAACCTAATTGTAAATTGCATTGCTGATGAAAAGCAGTGTACAATAATACCAAATAAATAAGATGAATAGGTGAATGAACATTTGTCACTAGCTCCTGCATGAAATGGGAGCTCATTAGGACCATTTTCTAAAAAACTGCAGCTGGAGGGGGAAACAGAGTTGCTTTCCACCCCCCTTCCAAACTGGCCCTGCTCATGTGTGTTTTAACAGCAGTCATTATGAAACTAACAAAGAAAGAAAGAAAGCCAATGAACCATTTTCTGTCTCTTTATCTTTGTGTTGGAAATAGGCCTGTTAAAATTTTGCATGTCAGGGTACTATGAAATACATATGACTAAGCAAACCAGGCCTGGTGAGGACCTTTAAATGCAAGCCATTTGATACCTCTAGTAATGCTGGAAATACCGAGGCAGCAAAAAAGACCTTTCCTGAGTTGTTAAGCCGGGGATGCGCTACAGAATAAATCCACAGCTTACACTCACTTTACTTATGTGATCGTAACCCCACATGTGGGGGGGTGGGGTGGGGTGGGAATAAGTGGTGAGCAGGGAAAACTTGTCATTCCCTGTTCTCCATTTATTGATATACAGTGGTACCTCTGGTTGCAGACGGGATCCGTTCCGGAGGCCCATTCGCAACATGAGCAGAACGCAACCCACGTCTGCGCGTGCGTGGGTCACAAATTGCCGCTTCTGCGCATGCGCGTGACGTCACTTTCCGTGACTGTGCGTGCGCAAGCGGTGAAACCCGGAAGTAACCCTTTCCGGCACTTCAGGGTTGCCGCGGGACACAACCTGAAAATGCTCAACCTGAAGCAGATGTAACATGAGGTATGACTGTATATTTTCCACTCACAGACCTAGTGGATTTTCCTTCCTCACTATGCTTTCAGAAAGTTGCAGCAGGGCCCCAGGAAGCTTCCAGAGCTCTCACTCCTCGTCTCCCACAATTACATTTGTGAATAAATAGTAGCTACTACCTGTTTTATCACTATAGTAGCGCTAATTTTTAGTCAGTTTTTATTTGAGTAGAATGATAATTGTAAAAATGAAAGAGAGAGGGAGCTCATTGAAGTCAGTTGATTAGAAGACTGATAAGCTTGTTTAACGTGTGTGTGTGTGTGTGTGTGTGTGTGTGTGTGTAATCTCATATATGTGGAAGTGAGTCCCATGTAACTCTGTGGAAACTACCCATGATAATTCATGCATAAGATTGTGGTGTTAAGATTGAAAGAGGAGCACATATGGTCCAAAGAATTGTGAATTAAAAGAAGAAAATGTTCCTGAAAAACTATAGCCATGCAGAGTTTTCCTTTTAAAATGATGCCATTAGCTTTTATGTGAATAACCACTCATCTTTGAATAATTAAAATTAAAAATAAAAACTTTACCAGTTCTATACTCCAGGTGTGGGAGTGGACAGGAAGTACCGTATGTTGCTTCTCAAAGCTTTTTGTACAACCGTCAGAGCAATGTGGGCGTGTGTCTGTTACAGCAGAACGGGCCACACATCTGTGGAACTGCTTTAGGTTTGTCCGTGACATTGCTCAAAGAGTTCTCATAAATGTGTGGTGCACCTGATACTATGATGGGAGGCACACCCACAAAAGACAGTAAGATACAGCTGTGACAAGAGTCTCCAAGTCTTTGTGAAGCTGTGGTCTGTACAAAGCCTATAATAGCTGCAGACTAGATCACAGTTCAGTACCCCAAGTGAGCCTTTGTGACATCACAGGTGACCACAGTTTTACAGTTCATTTGCAAGTGGCCTTTCTGGTGGTTGTGTTCAGATGGGGCCCTTAGAGTGCCTTTTAAAAATCAGAAGGGGTTTTTTGGGGGGGAGGAGAGTGTTTTGTAGCAGAAAGGTTTTCTCCTTTTTGTGTTTGTGTGATGAGACAGAGATGCTCTGAATTGCATCTCGTTCCAGTTATTGTTAGAACCATACAGTATTATCCAGCTGTCTCTTCTGAATATTGTGTTCTGGTGCATCCCTTTCCCGTAATTACCTCATTTCCTCACTTATTCCCTACCCTGCCCCGTAGTTCTGAAATCATGGAGCACCAGCATTGACCCACTGCTATTTGTGATCCACAGTGATGCAAGTCTGCCTGACCTAATGATTCATGAGCTGTATCTCTCCCTCTTCCCAAACTCGGTGTGTGAGACCATCCTGTTAATCTATATGTATTCTAGAAATCTAACTGGCCTTTAGGGTTGGTTGCCTTCAGCACCAGACTGAAACCAATACACTTCAAATAACCAGGTAAAGGTTGAAACTTGAAATGATGTGTTAATATAACACAAAAAAGAAAGCCGTATTTTTATTTTAAATGGGCCTTTCTTACATTTCATTTACTGTATTAGTTCCCATCAACTAGAGAGTCAATGTCTCTTATAAAATATACTGCTTGCAACAAACTTGGATGGAATCACATGGATAAATGGTGCCATTTTATCCCCTCAGAATTCTGTCTATAAGTAGCAGCTGGATATATTCAATGTGCTTCAAGTGGAACCATTCCCACAACGAGTTCAGTTTTATCAGTGCCACTTCAGCTCCTGCTGTGATTCTGCTGCTTGTGTGTTTCTGTTTACCATTTGAAATCCAACAAGATTCAGAGATAGTAAGCTGTAGCAGGACACAGGTTCTCCATGTTTGTCCCAAGAGCTCATCTGCACCTAGGTTAAGTTTTGGGAGAGGTTGGTGCCGTTTCCTCCCAAATCCCAGGTGGACACACCTTCCACTTCTGGTTTGGTTTGCATGAAAGAAAGCTCCTCTTGATAGTGGAACTAATTTTTCTCCACAATGTTTCTGCTTGTGATTCAACTGTCAGTAGTGCTCCCTCAAGCATGTGCTGACTGAAGAGCCCCACACATGTGCATAGTAGGGAATGGATGTGCTGAAACAGCCTATTCAATCTGCTAAATCAACAGTAGGGTATCTGAGGGTTACCATACATCTGGAATTTCCTGGACATAACCGGTATTCGGCCCTCACAAACAGTGTCTGGACAGGAATTGCTGAAGTGTCCAGGCAAAATATGGTAGGTGTGATAGCTCAAATAGAAGTGCTTTGTAGATTTAGTGCTTTGTGAATTTGGCACCTTTTCCTGCTGCCATGTTCAAAAAGTGCCAAATCACAGCTGGGAAGGAAAAACCGGAAGCATTCTTAAGTGTGCTCCCCAATTCTTCCTTTGCAAGCCACAGGTTCAAATTGAATCGCCTATGTCATATGACATCAGATGATTGACAGGTGAGCAGCTCCACTCGCCTCTCAAAGTAGCCCATAAATGGTGCCATTTTAGTGGATTATATCACTGCATTTGAGGAAAGCTTCAGCTCTTGAATTTAATGTTTCAAGCAAGGGAGACATTGCGCTTCCCTAACTGGGTGTATTCCATATATTATTTTTATTATGAATTTATATCCAAAGGAGCCCAGGGCAGCATATACTGCATTTCTGAGATTATTTGACAATATTACTGTTGCCTTTAACTCCTTTTAAGCAACATGTAAGACTTAATTTTCATTGGCTTTTAATCATCAGCGTGATAAAGTCCTCATTCGAGCTGTACATAATTGAACTATTTAGTCATTCCTGATATTTCAGATCCCCCAGCTTTTTACTATAATTTTTCCAATTTGTTTCTGATTACCTATCTTAAGTTAGCCAGAGCTCATTGCAGCTGAGTCCTAATTCCTGTGCATCAGGTGCCTGGGAGGTATATTGTAAAATAACAAAAGACCAACACATGCAACCAACTGTGTGTGATTCATCTGCTAAGTTAGTGTCCAGGCACTAGGCTGGGAACCGAACACAAATCCTGAAGCAAAGCCACATGTTGTAACTAGTATCTTTTTATTTGCAGGTAATTCAAACCTGTGTGTTTAAGATGACATGTTTTATGTAGGTCCTGTCACCAGTGCCACTCTACATGAGTCATGTGTAATAGCACCTGTCTGGGCTCTCTTAATTGCCTTGTTGCCAGCAGCGTCTTGGAGAAACAGAAATCTGTGTAGATTCTGCATTATAAAAGCCTTTAAAATAAACTAAAAAAGAAAGAAAAGCACTGCTGTGGTTTCCTTCTCTCTCTCCTTCCTCAATTTCCACAATTTAATCACGTCCTGCCTGTTAATCTTTTCTGCCTGCCATTTCCCTTCAGTGTTTTAAAAGGGTGATATTCTAAGAGAGATGTGATCTGAGGGAGAAGAATAGAATGCCAACTTACTGGTGCATGTGTGTGTTTTAAAAAACGATTATTTCAATCAGATGAAGGGTCTCTCTTAACAGATTGGAACCATATGAGTGGTTTTCCTCATTTTACGGTAATTTAGCCCTCAAGATGGGAAGGAAGATGGGTGCCTCTTGTCGTCCACTTCACCTGCCCCTCTTTAGGGTTTTCTATAGTGTATCTCTATTAGCAATCATATCACAACCAAAATAAACAAGAAAGAAACGGATTGATTATATACAGGCACAACTCTTGTCTAGTTGTTTTGAAGCAGCAGCGGAAGGTGTTAGGGCCCATCCCCGTAGGGTTGTCAACATGTCCAGAACAAAAAAAAGAATGACCTGGATGCATTGTGAGTTTGTTTTTTTAATCTTTGAGCAAACTGCCACTTTTTCCTCTGTAAAAGTCCGAGATAATGATAAAACTTACGTTTATTCATTTTTTTTACTTCAAAAATTGCAGTAATCAAGAAAACATATTAAAGAGCGTGGATTTTTTTTTACACAATTGGTATAGGATATTGTAGAAACTGCCTCCATCCTTGAATCCAGGTAAGTGAATGGAACAACAAAAAATCAAATGACAGAAGGATAGCCCTGAAGAGTAACTTGAATAATAGTCTGATTTTAAGGCGACTGAGCAAATGTATCAAACCCAGTTTGTTTGCTTTTAAAATTTGGGCATATTAAGCATCACAACAGTTGCAGTCCAAACACAGTGAGAAGCTACTCTGTATGTCATTACATATACTGAAGATGTTCAGATATATGTCTTGGTTAACACGCTGTATGAAGAAGAATGAAGACAGAGGTGCCTGGCGTGCTCTGGTCCATGGGGTCACAAAGAGTCGGACACGACTAAACGACTAAACAACAACAACATGGTAGAAGAAGACTCATGCCTTCTCTTCCCCATTGCAACCCTGGTGTGCTCCAAGAAGGACAGAGGTCTGGAATATGGGGGGGGGGGGGAATTGGGAGAAATCATGCGGAGTCAGCTGGGATGAATGGCATCTCCCATTCACACAACCCACCCCCACCTAGGTTCCCCCCCCCAATTCCCCCCTCCTCTGCTGCACTCCTTGAGTTTGCACTGCATTGGTTACCACAGGATACTGTTTTTTTAAATGCTAAATCAAGAAGATCTTTAGCCTTTTCTGTTTTGAAAACTATAAATTTTCCAATCTGGAAGTTGGTGCAGCAAATGGGTGTCCTCCCTCCACCTGCCAATCTGCCTTGGTCAGTATGAGTAGTGGGCTGTGGAAAAAGTGGTAGCTAAACCACTCCATTAAGCCCTGCTACTGCCAGCCAGAAGTATTGATTGACCTCTACATCTCCAGCCAGTGGGCATTTTCAGAATAATTAAACTTGACCATTATTGTTGGTGACTTGTGCATTCTTCATATGCCCACCCCGCCCTGTTGTATGAATCTGGTCTTTCAATGGAATGTGAAAGTCGCTACAGACTTGTGAGCCTGATTATCCACTAGACTGGTCTGATGGCAAATCTGCTTTCTATGCAAAGCATATTTCTGCCTAAATCACGTACGAGGCTTTCCATTGAGGCAATATAAAAGAACTGTAATTTTTGGAAGCAATAGACATATCTATAGATCATCCATAAGAGTTGGCCTCTCGGAAACTGCATATGCCTCAGGCCAAATAATGCTGTTAAGAGATGTTTTAGCTGATTATATCTCTATTTTTCACTATTAGGCAGATTGTATTTATTTTGCAGCTCCTGAAAAGACAGTAATGGGTCCTGAGAATTTAATCAATGTGAGAGCTTTAGAATGCCCCTGCCTTCCTGTGGCTTTCCTATAAATGGATGGCCAGCCATTTTAAGTGGAGGATCAAGCAAATTAGAGACTTCTGTTACATTGCTAGGTGAAAACATTCAGTAAAAAGCAGCATAAATTTCACTAACAGCATGTTTAAACTGTGTTACCAAAGCATGGACAATAAAGTCCAATGTAGTTTTCTCAGCTCCTGGGCATTATCATATCTTCTTTCTTCTTCTTTGGCGATCACTCGTAGCTAGGTAAAATTGTCTTCCGGGAACACGGTCTTAACAGTGAGTCCAATTCTGGATCCATTTGTCCTTCCACAGTGGGGAAATAGGTTTCCGGGTGGGAGTTGATCACAGTGAGGGAAGTGTGCCTTCCTCTTAGCACGTTTCCCCCTTTCGTTCTGAGTTCAAGTGTCTTCAAAGCCCATGACACCTTTGGTTAGTGGCAGAGGAAGCCGCTAAGGGGCGGGGCGAAGGCGGGGCATGCTGCCCGTAGGGGCAGGGTGCACCACGGGGCCTCCTGAGTCTGCCTGCCTCCTCCCACTCAGCCACCGTACAGCTGGGGGGGGGGGGAGGCAGCGGGCAGACCATTTGGGGCAGCGCAGAACCAGCGGGT